CATGGACAGAAACTGGAAGTTGGTTCCACAAGAGAGGAGCCTGAGAACTGAAAGATCTGCCTCCCATTCTGTTTTTAGAAACTCTAGGAATCACAAGTAAACCTGCAGTCTGAGAGTGAAGTGCTCTGTTAGGAAAATATGGAAAAATAAGATCTGCAATATAAGATGGAGCTAGGTTGTTGAGAGCTTTGTAGCTTTGTTTAATAAGTACTAAGGGTGCTGCTACAGAAACAAAATGAACAGTTTACAAAAAATCCTGAGTGATTACTTTCTAGACAGCTGAAGAAGTTGAACCAAACAAATTGCAAGAAAAATAATCCTGAGACCAGAGGGTAAAGTAGAGGCTCGTTCCAGCAGCAAAAGGATGGAACCACCAGCCTTGGAGGCTCATCCAGTACTTGAAGTTTGTACACAGTAATAAAAACAAACCATAGGCATGCCACTAAACTATCATTTTTCAGAACTCCAACCTTCTGGCATTAAGAAACATACAAAGAAAACTAACTATTTTAGTCAGTCACTGTTGCCTCCTTTAGATAAAGTAGAGGAAACATGATCAAATCATTCATCAGTCTTTAGGAAAAGTAAATCGTGCATGTAGGAACTTGCTTTGACTACAGCAGCAACTGTGATGAAAACTACAGCCTCAGTGGATTTTACAACCTTACCAGGATGAATAATGTGTCTTCAAACGTTAATGAGAAATTAAAGCACATATGAAGATAAGGTTCCCATAACAGTGCACGTATGTTGAAGAACTGCTGGACACAGCAGATTACTGTGAATCATGGCTCCAACAAGACAGCTGAAACAAAGCACACGGTCACAAAACTGCTTCAAAAACGCCAAAGATCACTGAATTTTGCACCAGTTGTTGGTTGTTTACATCCAGCTGTGTCAAAGCACAAACAAAATGGAAATGTTGTAAAAGGGAAGTGTACTAATTGATCAAGGAAGACAAGAAATGGTCAGGACAGAAAACTTGAGCCAAAATGGATTGAAAACAGGAATTGAGCAAAACAAATGAAAAACATGTAGGAGGAAACTGGAGTCAAAGTCTGTGACCAAAGTGAGAAACATCCCTGAAAAGAAATGGGATTTAGATACAGAGCAGTCCAGCAGACGCCTTCATTAACACGCAAACAGAAAAGAAGAAAGTGAGAGTGGGCTCAAGAAAAGCCTGAAT